CAGTTTTCGAGAAACTCTAAAGAACAACCAAAAGCTTTCTTAATGAGGCGTAATTGTAGTCCATAAATTTCTGATTAAAACGAGGCATCTCCCAGCTCTACACGATCTTTCTTTGCAAAGTTATAGAGTTTACAAGAAAAGCCCTAAATTCATTTTTCGTTTTTCTTTCTGTAGCTCTGAAGTGACAATGAACATTTAGGGCTTTCCTTGTAAACTCTATAACTTTGCAAAGAAAGATCGTGTAGAGCTGAGAGATATCTCATTTTAATTAGAAATTTGCGGGCTACAATCATGCCTCATTGAGAAAGGTTTGGGTTATTTTTAGAGTTTCTGAAAAACAGGTCTTCGAAGGGCTAAGGGCAATCCCCATGATCATATTGGTAAACAGAATGGTCGATAACCTATAACCCACTAGATTCCGGGCAAAAGGCGTTTAATCACCTCGAAAGGTTCCCTCGTAAGTTGCATCGAATAGTGTATGAAATGTCTGGTTTTCGAGGAAAAAACTTTTTGACGAAAGTTGTGGACAAAGGGGGGGGGAACTCAGGTATTTTTGGTCAAAAAAACTTTTTTAAAATCAAAATTTTGACTATCATTTGTATCTTTTAATATGTCGTTTATAATTCTAGCGTGGCAATTTTCGTGATGTATTCATTATCTTAAATGGCAGAATATCAAAATATCCGTCTCGTTTTATGAAGTCAATTCCATACTTACCATTCGATTTAAATGAAAAAAGCGAGCCCAGTGCAGCTGATATTGTTCAAATTATCTATTATTTAGAAAGTCAGCACAATATACATAGTTTATGATCTTGAGTTTACAGCATTGAATGTTTGTTTAGATCTCAATATAATATCTAAAACGTATACAGAATATTTCGAAAGCATTGAAGATCTTACTCAACAGGACAATGTGGTATGCATGTTCCTTAAACTAACCTTTATATTCTACAAACAGGTTACTTTGTTTAGACAAGTATCGGTAAAGGTTTAGCGGTAGCTTTTTATTTCAATTATGCAAAACTCTTGATCCAAACAACATGTAGGTGACACAAAAGTGTTGTGAAAATGAAAAGCATTGTTTGTATTGATTCGTTTATTTCCAGATCATCCCGCTCGTGTTGAAAAGCTTAAAGACGAACTTTTAAACAAAGGTTTAATTGACAACGTACAAAATACATTTATCGAAAAATGGGTGTTTGTACTACCTTGGACTACTATGAATTCCACAAAACTACTTCAGGATTGTTGTGCATTTAAAGATGGACAGTTTAGTTTAACTTCACTAACATCAGCGTAAGTTAGAAAATTCGTGTCGATTTGACTCTTTAAATTGTCTTTGTTGTCTTAAGAGGTCCAATTTCATTTACACTTGGTGGAATTGTTGAACGATCTTATTCACCACTTATCATTTACAAACTGTCTAAAAACGATGAAAAGAAAGTAAGCAGTTAGTAAAATTAAATCATCAAAGTATCTAGATGTTTCGACGCTTTTTGTTAGATTTATTATTTTGCCATGGAAATTCCAGCAGCTTTTCATGGTCTTCAGAATCAATACAATAATATACGAGCTCAGTTTCATTTTGGTAAATATGATCCTATTGAACAAGCTGAAATATTTCAGAAAGAAGTTCAGCGTTATTACAATAAAGAAGAGAATGCAGAATGGCATAATCAAATTCTTCTTGTACCATTATCACAGCCCAGTGTGAGCATGAATGATACATCTAAAACAAATCTAGTGCTTGAAACGTTATGGAATACGATTAGTGAATCAGAAACACAAGAAGTACTCATTTGGTTGGATCTCAACAGCCATGTTAACACAAAAACTACAGTAACAACTCTAAGATCAATAATTCCGTCGACATTTCTATTTGACAACCAAGATGACTGTATGACTAGAATACGTTCATTGCCTACAAACCACATTATTCTCGTTGTTTCTGGTGACATTCATGAAAAATTTATCCTTAATAGTTGCAGTCAAATTCAGTCAATCTATATCTACCATCCGAATCACTCTAATAACTGCAAATCATTATTAAATCAAGAGAAGATACATGGTATTTTTATGGATGAAAGTCACTTTATATTTCATGTGATCCACCAAATGATTGATTTTTATACCGAAAAGGGAAGTTACTACGAGAAAAAGTGCCAAAATGTTTTAGCAAAATCAAGATACAGCCAAGCACAGAAACTCTGCACTTATTTGACTGAAAACTTATCAAAACGTTTAACTCCAAAGTCTTGAGAAATTACATGTTTTTATAAGCTTCATGACTAAGTATTTGATCAGTCGTACAACTCTTCTAAGATTAAATTTATGCGTCTTGTTTATACTGTCTCTGAACGTAGCTTGACACCCCACACACAAAGTCTTTCGCCCAAAGGTTATGTTGAAAGAATGGCCATTTTCTCACTTTAAGGCGGAGGAGTTTAAGAAAATGTTTGTTTATGTACTGTTTTTGAGAAACTTTTTAGATTAGTATTATACTGTATAATGTCAATTCATGATGTAAGATTTGATGGTACATATATCGACGAGCCGAAAAATATTTTCGTCTACGGGTCTGATGACAATCTAAATCAACATCCGCTAGCAAATCCTGATAGAATCAATTTTCTTCAAGTGCTCAATAGAGAAGAATGTGTTCAATTTATAATGACACATCACGATCCAATTCATCTATTCGCCACTTACAACAGTATGATACGGGTAATTCCACACTTACCAATCCAACATTTAATAAAGCACGTCACAATTTTCCTAATAAATATTAATGAGGGAAATGAAATTCAACAGTGGTGTGAAAATCGAAACATAGGTTTTGAAAACTTTCAGATAAATGCATTGGAAAACAGATTATTATACTATGGTATGAAGTACTGTGAGGAGTCCGGTAATAGAAATAGCCGCCAACAAAATTATACCGTAGCAAGACTTCATTATGAGGATGCACGACGTCTAACACAAGCGTTTGAAGCATACCTCGGTACATTGATCGAAGCACTTGACGTGGATTGATAGAAGCTTTCTCTGTGACTCAGTTATTCTTACTTCGTCATTTATAACCTCTTTTACATGTACGGTACACAAAAAACGGATTAGAGTTTAATAAAGCTGCCAGTGACAGCTAAACTCTCTAGTTTTAAGAAGCAAAGAAGAAACTGTCTAGCTATATATCAAAGACGTTTCCAACACCAGAAATATCAGATTAGACTTTCTAATTAATTTCGAAAGAAAATTATCTTTAATCCTTTTCTCACAAACGAACAAGAATGAATTCACCCGTTCGTACAATAGTGTAGAGGGTAATAAATTATGGTTTCTTTTCAAAGCATCATTTATAACTCAACAGCTAGAATTATTAGTAAAAGGTTTTATCAGAACCTGTTCATATGATAGACTGTCGTTTCTGAATCTTAGGTTTGAATCAGTTGCACGTTGAATGACCTTGAATCGATAGCAGAATGTGAACGAACAGCTCCAGAGGCCAAAGAACACTAAACATTTTTTTTATTTTTTTTGTCTCATCCTATACCGAAAGGTATCTGGGTATAGTTACTTACTTACTTACAGTTGCGCGTACTAGCTTCCTGAGGCTATATTTCTTCTTGCTGGCACTTAGTGGCTTCGCGTAGCCTTGAAAGCAGAAGAGAAGTACGTAGTCGACCATGCTAAATCTGATGGCAACGTTTATTTTATTTTACTTTGTGTTATTCTTCCTTTTCCAAGTTAATCGAAGCCACTGCTAGTCCTGGGGCTCCAGAGAAATCAGATACCACGTCCAAATTACTGAAAATCAAAGTCTCGCTTGATTCCCACTTGAAGAGGATACTAGGCTATTTACTTATATAAAAACCAATATATTGCTACTTTATTGTTTAGAGTTACGAAACAGTTTTCCAGAGATCTCGTAGAAAATCAGCCATTGAGAAATACTTTCAACTTTGTTTTAGTTATAAACAATAGCTTACAGTCTGGGCTATTGAATCGCAAAAACCACAAGTTTCTATCGCCTTTCGTTCTTGTTGTATTACCATTGAATTCGTTGTGCAACGTTGTGTATCAAACTGGTTTTTATGATATTTTAATATAATATAGCAGAAATACACTGATTCAAGCTAGCCTCTAGAACTCGGTGCCCTCGCAACTTTCAAATCGTCTGTATTGAAAACGAAAATACCGGAGACTATCAAACTTTTACCAAATATCCTTTGGCATATAATCTATTCGGAAATATGGTTAAAAGTTTCATCGTCGTCTTTGTTTCAAATGGGTGCTACAGCAAAGTTCAAGATTTTCTGGATTCGGGCCCTTAGTGCACAATCTATTACAAAATGACGAAAGCATGTTCTAAGCCCGTTGTTCCGTGGTTTTGTAGTAGACACTGTCTGCTGTTTGTCATAAAATCTGCCAGGTTAAGCAATCTGTTGTTACTGAATTACAAGGGTTTAAAGTTGGCAAATTTTCAGAATCTACGTTTTTCGGGGTTTTTCATAAAACTTCAATATTTCAGTAACCATACAACTTTTTGATTTGTGCCTTTTACCAAAATTCATTAAAATGTGTGGTCTACAAGAGCCCCCTAGGTTGAAAAAGTTTTGAGAATATCGATTGAAGAAGGTCGGTCATGGCTTAGGTACAATGGCTCATAAGTCAACTTCTTTCTCAAAATCAGTTCCTCAAACTTATCTATTGATCTATTTATTTCTCCCCTTGAAAATCTTTTTTTAAAGTTCTTCGTGTTCAGACGTTGAAACTTTTTACTTACGGACGTTTTAATTGTGGTATTGCAGCTAGATAAAATCTTGGCAATGTAAATTCTAATTTTTAACTACACGATATTTCAGAATATAGACCTTTTTTAGCAGTGGGTAAACATGTTCAAAAAATGGATCACTCAATCAGATTCAATGAAGTCAAAATTTTAAGTCGTGATCAAAGACCTTATCGGTTCTTAGTTAGAAATCTTTGGCTATATGTTCACATTCCCTGAATTCAATGGTATATATCGTTCAGTACCACTACACATTTTTCCTAAAGGTCTTTCCAGATCATCATATGTTACAAAGAAAAAATGGATTATCCTGTCTTCATAAATCCAGTTTCATAAATCACATATTTATGAAACTTTTTACAAGTTTCATAAAATTTTTCATTTTTGTGTAACTTGGGGGTTAAAAATTCAACATCCAAGTTCCTAAATTTTATGAAACTTGGAAACGAGTTTCATAAATGTGTGATTTATGTTGTTTCAGGTTTAATTCATTAGTTCTTTAATTAATTCTGGTATTAATATGTCATATTGAGACATATGACATTATATAATAGGTATGTCACGTAGAGACGTGTATTTGTGGTATTTTAATTGAAAATAGTGATTTATTTAGTTAAACATAGTATCCGTGTGTCTCTAGGTGCTAGGTAAGGCTCGTAGAGACACAGTGACTCAACCAAATAGAGGTGCTAATATCTCTATATCTATCTTACTAAGAGACACAGACTGATTCAAATAAAAAACATGGAATTTTATTCTAAAACTGTATATATAAGTCTCTAAGTGAGATGTGAGTCTCTCAGAGACATATGCTTACTCGTATAAAAAGCGATATTTTTATTCCGACAGGACTATGTATAAGTCTCTAAGAGCGTCTCTTAGAGACATGTCCAGGGATCCCAGATCTTCTGATTTTGGCAGAAAAATTCTGACTTTTGGACCTTTCTCTGCCTCGTTTCTGCTCTGTTTTGCCCTAAGGTCTACTGGTTGATTTTCCGGTCTACTTCTTTTTCTCAGGAAACCGCTTTCTTGTGAGTTGATACAAGAATGGCGAGACGGATTCTTGTATGAAGTCACGAGAAAACTGTTTCTCGACACTAAAGTTGGTGAGACATTTTGGGATAAAAAAGTCTTTTTCGTCGTTTCAGGCTCTTTGGGTCGAGAGGTGGTTCCTCTCAGGCATGGGTAGGATAAAATTAACAGTATGTACGTGTCTTGTGCCCAGAAAGAAGCGCACGAAGAGTACGTATAATCACGTTTAGGGAAGGAAATTAACTATATCCTAGAAGTTTGAACTCATTCTGAAGTTTATTGAGTGAATAGTGAACGTTTTTATATTAGGTGAAAACAGCCTGAAAACGCAAATTTTCGTAAAACTTGCTTTCTGGTAGCTTTTTAGAACTTTTTCTAAAAACGGAGCAATAACAGTATCATATTCGGAATTGCGATAAGAAACGTAGTCGACTGATGTGTATTTCTATCTTATCCGACTACTTTCATTTTTATCTATATTTTATGCTGTGAAATTACCGAGATTTTTACGACAAATTGAAATTGAACCAAACATTTCAAAATAAAAATGTAATTCCGTCACGCGTGTTTAAGCCACATTGTTTGTCTTGCATAAATTATTTTGACCTATTTTCAACGTTATATCAACAAATGAAATAATAAGCAATTGCAGAGAACATAAACGACTATGAAGTTAGACTGTTATTGAATTATTCGCAATAGTTTCCCATCACACGTTAAAGAATTGTTTTCTTGTCGTTTTTGCTTCATCTTCCTGATCCATTGCATATTTTAATATTTCATCTACCTTCAAGTAATTATATCTGGCTGCTCAAAGCACGATGTACCGATTCATTAAATTCTTCAACACTTTTTTCAAGGTGAAATTGTATACAAAATGCTTTATTGATCCGATAAGCAGCTGTATAATTATTTGATGTATAAGCTAATATAATAGCCGATGGTGAAAGAGAAAATGTATCACCATGCTGTGTAATTAATAACGGACTTTGTTGTTTACTGGAAGATACTCGTGATAATATTGGATCCGAATTTCCATCATCTGTTAGTTTATATTAAACGTACCCCGTTTCGAAACCTTGTTTACCTTTGAATGATTCACCACCACAAACATCAGCTAACAATTGAGCACCTAAACACATTCCAAGAAGATGTGTAGTATTCCATAGCAAAACATTCAATTTTCCATCGGGCTGAAAATAAGAGAAACAAAATACTTATTCTGATTCGCAATTCCACGAGGATTCCGAATATGCTACCCGTTTTCTTGGACAACTCTTAGTTTTCGAGAAAGAAACGAAAAACTGTTTTTGC